GGGTGGGGGGAAAAGGAAACTTAAGGGGCATTGACCGCAGCGTCACTGGGTACACAACCCTGTCTGTCACTCACTGGGCGGGGCACGGCCAGCCAGGCATAAAGACTGAATAAAGAAAACAGAGACACGTCTGGTTAACAGAAAATTACATGTTTGAACTGTGGTTCAACATCAAACACTCACATAGAGGCTTAAAGTGTAGTGACACGCACACACACACACACACACACACACACCACACACACACACACACACACTTGTCAATGATACATGAACTATTCAGTGTATTATATTTAGTGAGGTGAAAAGGCTCCTCAGATATTTTCCCTCTCTAGCTGAAGGATACAGGCTTTATAAACCCTCAGATTGACCTAGAGGGACACTGACACTGGCTGATCACAGAGAACAGGACTAGACGGCTGAATCAGACACAAAGTTAATGTATTAACAGATAAGGAGTGTATACTGTTAATAGCAAGACTTAGGCAAACAGAGACACTGACAGAAAGAGCAGCCAACACGCACAAGCGAAAGAAGAGATATCTCCACAGTGTAGTGTCAGATCTCTCTGTAAACCTCGTCTCCGATGTTCCCCGGGGGTCCAGAGGGATGAGGGGTGAAACCTGACCCTGGACAGACAGATGTGATGTGTGTGTGTGTGTGTGTGTGCGTTGGTGCGTTCTGTGTGTGTCTTTGTGTGTGTTGGTTCAGTAGCTGGAAACTCCACACGCTGGAACCAATGACCTGCTCTGAGGAGCAGATAGAGAGAAACGAGGGAGAGAGTGAGAAAGAAAGAAAGAAAGAGGGGAGAGCGGGGGATGGCCCCATAGATAATTACAGTGCGGGAGTAGAGAACAGAACAGCTGGTGCTAGAAGGAGGTGGGTGATTGTTAACCTCAATTGTTAACCTCTCTGAATGTCTCTATCAGAGGTAAAGGCCTTGGTCAGTCTGGTAGGGTGTGTATGGGGTAAGATGGGGTCATACTAAACCTCTCCTCCTTAGCCCTCCCTGTGTGTGGCTCAGTCACGGCCTGTAGAGTTTACTCATTAACCCAGGGCCCATTGTGCTGTGTGTTCCACCCTGCCTGCCCTCCCTGCTCTGGGCCTGTGGAGCCTATGTTTCAGCTGCACTCCTGGGGGTCAAAGGGCACCCGGGGCAGGATGTTACGACATGGCCTTGTTGTGTATGTGACCGCTGACTTTCTAGGAATGCTGGTATGCTCCAGAGAGTGGCCATTTTGGGGGCGACAGGCCGGAGAGGGGTAGTCACTGTGAGTCTGCTTCTTTCCCTTGGCTCTTCATTTCCTTAAGAGCCTGCCTTGCTCCACGCGTCTCCTCCCTCTCCTCTCCTCTCCTCTCCTCTCTCTCCAAGCCCTCTAATCTCCTTCTTCTCCTCTCCTCTCTTCTCTCCTTCTTCCTCTCTCTCCTCTCCTCTCCTCTCCTCTCCCTCTCCTTCCTCTCCTCTCTTCTCTCTCCTCCTCTCTCCTCTCCTCTCCTTCCTCTCCTCTCTCCTCTCCTCTCCTCTCCTTCCCTCTCCTCTCCTCTCCTCTCCTCTCCTCTCCCTCTCCTCTTTCCTCTGGGCTGATATCGCTGCCAGGAGGCCACTCAGTCATAACTAACCATGGTCCACTGATGACCAGGATCACCACGTAATACAACCAAGATACTGACGTGGACAGTTGATGTCAGACAGAAAGGCAACAGTGGATATGAGGATAGGGAGGAGGGAGATAGAGGGAGATAGAGGGAGATATAGGGAGATAAAGGGAGATAGAGGGAACACGAAAACAATGTGGTGGAGACAGGAGGAGAGAACTCAATTATGTTCTATAGGCAGGCAGTGTAAGATATGTGAAGAATGCACATCATTAAATGCATTGTGAGGGTGTAACGTTAAAGTTAAACGAGGGGATGCTCTGTCGATGGAGCTTGTAACTGAGGGGAGAAGGACAATTGTTAAACCGTTGTGTTTGGATGTGTTTGTATTGCAGACAGACTGTGTGAACTACGTGAAGTTAGTGCACCACTACAACCGCACCCACCTGTATGCCTGTGGAACCGGGGCCTTCCACCCCACCTGCGCTTTCGTGGAGGTGGGACAGAAGATGGAGGTAAGAGACACACACATGCATGCAAGAACACACACACACACACACACACACACACACACACACACACACACACACACACACACACACACACCTCCAGTTCATCTGTCCTCTTTCTGTTCCCAGGCTCTCTCTGTTTCATCCACACAGTAGAGACCATATGTGAGAAGCTTTCTGAGCACCCATTGTGTATGTATGATGGCTGTACTCTGCACTGTAACCCACTCCTCCTACACACTGTTTCACCCCTATTTCTCTCTCGCCTTCCAGGACCTTGTGTTCAGAATTGACCCATCCAAGATGGAGGATGGGAAAGGGAAGAGTCCATACGACCCCCGTCACCCTGCAGCTTCAGTACTGATAGGTGAGCCCAGCCTCTCTGTCACCCTCTCAGACGGAGTAGGTGGAAGTTGCCCCTTAGAGGGTCAAATACTTTTCCTCCTCCTAATGGTTTAGAATGGGAAGTAGCCAGGGTAATCTGATCCTAGATCTGTGGTTAAGGATATATTCTACCTTCAGTCTATCGGCCTACTGTAAGTACACAGAGGTTCAGAGGTCCCTTTGGTGGTTCGAGATGGCACTGCAGTCACTTACACAGGTACTATAAAGCCGTAGCATAGCAACTTCATGTTGTCCCCCTCTCCTCCCGCCTCCAAGGTGACGAGCTGTATGCGGGTGTGGCCACTGACCTCATGGGTAGAGACTTCACCATCTTCCGCAGTCTGGGGGGACGACCGTCCATTCGCACCGAACAACACGACTCACGCTGGCTCAATGGTGAGTGTGTGTGTCAATTAGCATAATTGTTCTTCACACTGCCCTCCAATCGCTGATCCTTTCTATTCCATGCTTTGTGACGTACCCCAACAGTATTACTGAGAGAGTGTGTGTGTGTGTGTGTGTGTGTGTGGGAGAATGGGAGAACCTTCCAGAAGGACAACCATCTATGCAGCACTCCACCAATCAGGCCTTTATGGTAGAGTGGCCAGACGGAAGCCACTCCTTAGTAAAAGGCACATGTCAGCCCACTTGGAGTTTGCCAAAAGGCACCTAAAGGACTCTCAGACCATGAGAAACAAGATTCTCTGGTCTGATGAAACCAAGATTGAACTCTTTGGCCTGAATGCCAAGTGTCACGTCTGAAGGAAACCTGGCACCACCCCTATGGTGAAGCATGGTGGTGGCAGCATCATGCTGTGTGGGTGTTTTTCAGTGGCAGGGACTGGGAGACTAGTCAGGATCGAGGGAAAGTTGAACGGAGCAAAGTACAGAGAGATCCTTGATGAAAACCTGCTCCAGAGCGCTCAGGACCTCAGACTGGGGTGAAGGTTCACCTTCCAACAAGACAACGACCCTAAGCACACAGCCAAGACAATGCAGGAATAGCTTCGGGACAAGTCTCTGAATGTCCTTGAGTGGCCCAGCCAGAGCCCGGACTTGAACCCGATCCAACATCTCTGGAGAGACCTGAAAGTAGCTGTGCAGCGATGCTCCCCATCCAACCGGACAGAGGTTGAGGGGATCTGCAGAGAAGAATGGGAGACACTCCCCAAATACAGTGTGCCAAGCTTGTAGCGTCAAAACCAAGAAGACTTGAGGGTGTAATTGCTGCCAAAGGTGTTTCAACAAAGTACTGAGTAAAGGGTCTGAATACTTATCTAAATGCAATATTTCAGTGTTATATTTTTTATACATTTGCAAAAATGTATAAAAACCTGTTTTTGCCTTGTTATTATGGGGTATTGTGTGAAGATTGATGAGGGGAAAAAACGATTTAATCCATTTTAGAATAAGGCTGTAACAAAATGTGGAAAAATCAAGGGGTCTGAACACTTTCCGAATTCACTCTAGCATATATAATGCCTAATAAAACACTTAGTGCTATATCACTTGCTATTTCTTTCCCCTCTAGAGCCTAAGTTTGTGGGTTCGTTCTGGGTGCCAGAGAGTGAGAACCCAGACGATGATAAGATCTTCTTCTTCTTCCGGGAGACAGCGGTGGAGGCTCAGGGCCTGGGGAAGTCCACCTACTCCCGTATTGGACAGCTCTGCAGGGTGAGAACACCACTCAGATTATACTGTCCCTGTGCTGTACCATAGCTTAAAGTGCATCATATTGTAACATAGCTAATACTATTACACACACTCGTAACCTTTTCCTTAGGCTCTGGCATACACATACAGTATGCTGTGTCAATGGCACTGTTTTGTACATAGAATTGTTTGATGTTTAAGTATGTACAGCAATTACATATTATTACGGGAATCTTTCCTTTATAACTTTGGTCTATAATGTTTATTTGGTTCGTTGTTGCAGAATGATATGGGTGGCCAGCGTAGTCTGGTCAACAAGTGGACCACCTTCTTGAAGACTCGTCTCATCTGTTCTGTGCCGGGCAGTGACGGCAGTGACACGTACTTTGACGAGCTCCGTAAGTAGCCGTTACAGTCCGAGTGCATTATCTGATCCTAGCTGTCACTCCAGGCTATACCTGAGCAAGAGATTCAACCAATGAAGAGTCATCTGAGCTAAATGGACAGAGACAGAGGTTATGTTTGTGTTTCTCTGACCTTTGACCTCTAACCTCTGACCGGTGTTCCTCCCACAGGGGATGTGTTCCTGCTGCAGACAAGGGACAGGAAGAACCCTCTGGTCTACACCATCTTCTCTACCTCCAGGTCAGAGTTCAAACCAGGGGATGGATTGAGTTATTGTTGTGCTCCTATGCTTGTGTGTGCATATGAGTGCAAGTGCTTGTGTGTGTTTGTGTGTTTGTGTTTCTGACTGTGTTTGTGTGTTTATTAGTAGGCTCTGTCTCTAACTGTGCGTCCCTCCCAGCAGCAGTGTTTTCAAGGGATCAGCCGTGTGTATCTACACCATGAATGACATACGTAGGGCCTTCCTGGGGCCCTTCGCCCACAAAGAGGGGCCAAACTACCAATGGGTCCCTTTCCAGGGCAAAGTCCCCTACCCACGCCCTGGCATGGTACGTAGCCTACAGCAGTTCTGTAGGAATTTACTGAATATAAAATTCTAACATCAGTAGTTTAGCTCATTAACTATACTAACAATCGCCATTGTGACAGCTCTGTTTGGCCGATGTTAAACCCTGGGGCTGAGCCCATGTGACCTGTCTCAACTCATAATAATCTTATAATAACCTCATAATAACCTCTCTGTACTGTTACTCTGTGTGACCCCTTAGTGCCCCAGCAAGACATTCGGCAGCTTTGAGTCCACCAAGGGTTTCCCTGACGACGTGATCCAGTTTGCGCGTCACCACCCTCTCATGTTTAACCCTGTGTACCCCCTGAACCGCCGGCCCATCTTCCTGAGGACCAACGTAGACTACAGCTTCACCCAGATCGCTGTGGACCGGGTGGGCGCCGCAGACGGGCAGTATGATGTCATGTTCATTGGCACAGGTAACCACTTACTCTTACAGGTAGCCCTTAATATTCATGCTTAGCCTGGTTCCAGATCTGTTTGTGCTCTTGCCAACTCCATTGCTGTCATTGTCCAGCCAAGCATTTGGCATGACAATTCCATAAGGAGTTGTCAAGAGAGCAGAAACAGACTGGCACCCAGGCTAATTTATGCCATCTACTGTCAACTGTAGACAGTATAAGGTTGCATTGTTTCCCACCACGTTACAGTCGTGGTCAAAGGTTTTGAGTATTGGTCTTCACAAAGTTTGCTGCTTCAGTGTTTTTAGATATTTCTGTCAGATGTTATTATGGTATACTGAAGTATAATTACAAGCATTCCATAAGTGTCAAAGGCTTTTATTGACAGTTACATTAAGTTTATCCAAAGAGTCAATATTTGCAGTGTTGACCCTTCTTTTTCAAGACCTCTGCAATCCGCACTGGCATGCTGTCAATTAACTTATGGGCCACATCCTGACTGATGGCAGCCCATTCTTGCATATTCAATGCTTGGAGTTTGTCAGAATTTGTGGGTTTTTGTTTGTCCACCCGCCTCTTGAGGATTGACCACAAGTTCTCAATGGGATTAAGGTCTGGGGAGTTTCCTGGCCATGGACCCAAAATGTTGATGTTTTGTTCCCAGAGCCACTTAGTTATCACTTTTGCCTTATGGCAAGGTGCTCCATCATGCTGGAAAAGGCATTGTTTGTCACCAAACTGTTCTTGGATGGTTGGGAGAAGTTGCTCTCGGAGGATGTATTGGTACCATTCTTTATTCATGGCTGTGTTCTTAGGCAAAATTGTGAGTGAGCCCACTCCCTTGGCTGAGAAGTAACCCCACACATGAATGGTCTCAGGATGCTTTAGTGTTGGCATGACACAGGACTGATGGTAACGCTCACCTTGTCTTCTCCGGACAAGCTTTTTTCCAGATGCCCCAAACAATCGGAAAGAGGATTCATCAGAGAAAATGACTTTACCCCAGTCCTCAGCAGTCCAATCCCGGTACCTTTTGCAGAATATCAGTCTGTCCCTGATGTTTTTCCTGGAGAGAAGTGGCTTCTTTGCTGCCCTTCTTGACACCAGGCCATCCTCCAAAAGTCTTCGCCTCACTGTGCATGCAGATGCACTCACACCTGCCTGCTGCCATTCCTGAGCAAGCTCTGCAATGGTGGTGACCCGATCCCGCAGCTGAATCAACTTTAGGAGATGTTCCTGGCGCTTGCTGGACTTTCTTGGGCGCCCTGAAGCCTTCTTTACAACAATTGAACCTCTCTCCTTTAAGTTCTTGATGATCCGATGAATGGTTGATTTAGGTGCAATCTTACTAGCAGCAATATTCTTGCCTGTGAAGCCCTTTTTGTGCAAAGCAATGATGATGGCACATGTTTCCTTGCAGGTAACCATGGTTAACAGAGGAAGAACAATGATTTCAAGCACCACCCTCCTTTTAAAGCTTCCAGTCTGTTATTCTAACTCAATCAGCATGACAGAGTGATCTCCAGCCTTGTCCTTGTCAACACTCTCACCTGTGTTAACGAGAGAATCACTGACGTGATGTCAGCTGGTCCTGTTGTGGCAGGGCTGAAATACAGTGGAAATGTTTTTTGGGGATTAAGTAAATTTTCATGGCAAAGAGGGACTTTGCAATTAATTGCAATTCATCTGATCACTCTTCATGACATTCTGGAGTATATGCAAATTGCCATCATAAAAACTGAGGCAGCAGACTTTGTGAAAATTAATATTCGTGTCATTCTCAAAACTTTTGACCACGACTGTATACTCCTGACACTTGGTTTCTATGTGTTATACTAAATAGAATGTATAATATTGAGCAGCGTGTATATTGAATATGGATGGATTGTGGGATCCAGTCTGAAACTCTGTGTTGGTGTGTTGCAGACAAAGGGACGGTGCTGAAGGTGATCTCTGTACCTAAAGAGAGCTGGAACAACATGGAGGACCTGCTACTGGAGGAGCTAGAGGTGTTCAAGGTGAGGGGGTCCATCCATCATTCTGCTTGTATCAGAGGAGGCTGGTGGGAGGAGCTATAGGAGGACTCATTGTAATGAGTAAATGGAACGCAGTCAAACGTGGTTTCCATGTGTTTGAAATTGTTCCATTTATTCCATTCCAGCCATTACAATGAGCCTGTCCTCCTATAACTCCTCCCACCAGCCTCCTCTGGCCTGTATATGTATTTTTAATGACACGCAAGTATATGTTTACGTTTCTATTTAAGAGTGTGATACTTAACCATTTATTCTGCTCTACAGGATGCCTCATCCGTCATCAACATGCAGATATCCTCAAAGCGGGTAAGAGTCTCTTAAACCCTAAGGTATCATCTTGGGGGTGGAGAGGTGCAGGGCAACAACTAGAAGCTAAAAGCGAGCATTAGAGGAGAGCTAAGATCAAATCTGAAAGATTGGCACCAGTGAATTATTAGCTCTCTAATACTATAATTCCAAGATGTTTAATATCAAGTAATTTGACTGCATGCCACTAACATTGCTCCTCTCTCTCTGTCCACAGCAACAGCTGTATGTGGGCTCAGACACGGGGCTGGCCCAGGTTCCTCTGCATCGCTGCAGTGTCTATGGGAAGGCCTGCGCTGAGTGCTGCCTGGCCAGAGACCCCTACTGCGCCTGGGACGGCACCTCCTGCACCCGCTACCTACCCAACACCAAACGGTAAACAAATATACAAACTCTAACTTAAAACCTAGCTTGCTACCTATCCAACACCAAATGGCAAACAAATATACAAACTCTAACTTACAACCTAGCATGCTACCTACCCAACACCAAACAGTAAACAACCTCACATGCTATTTGCCCAACCATTGAACCGTAACCAACTTTATCCACTGCCTTTAAAACTGTAATCACCAAACCTGATCCACTATAACCAGCCAAATCTAAACACCCCAACCCTACTCATACAAACCCCAGCTGACTACACTCTTAGAAAGAAGGGGTCCAATAGGTTCTTTCAGCTCTCCCCATAGGATAACCCTTTTTGGTACCAGGTAGAACCCTAGTCATAATCCCAAGCGATCAGACAGACATATCAACACTTCGCTCTGTTCTTTTTTCTCCAGGCGTTTCCGTCGTCAGGACGTGAGGAATGGAGACCCCAACACCCTGTGTTCAGGAGGTAAGACTCTTTCACTCCGAACTCAGACTTACATAAATCATGCTGATATCAATGGGAGATTAGACCAACGTTTTAGTTACGCACTCTGATTTCAAATTAGGATTCGCCAAGGAGCTAACTCTCTCTCCCATGCTCCCACCCAGAGAGGGCAGGGTGAATAGTGTGATTCTGTGCCATAATCTCTCTTGGCCTGTATTAGACGAGTTACACAAATGGCATGACATGGTGATTTCACACAATTATGTCATATCATGTGCTCAGTGAGGGTGTTGTGCAAGATAGGGAAAGGTCATTGTGATTATCTCAGAGTTTGGATGGCGGCCTTTGTGAACGCACAAGTGAGAACGGACAAACGGCACACACACACATTCACCATCACCCATGGTGATTTAGATACCACTTACACTACTTGGAATAATACGTTGTCAACCTCAAAACTGTAAAATACATGTAGAATTGTAATATCACATTAGCTCATGTTATCTGATGGTGTGTATTGCCCCCTGTAGACCACCACAAGCACCGCGTGGCAGAGAGGAGGCTGTTTGGGGTGGAAGGGAGCAGCACCTTCCTGGAGTGTATCCCCAAATCCCTGCAGGCCAGAGTGACCTGGACCTTCCAGAAACACCCCCACAACCCCAGGGAAGAGGTAAAAGGAAAAATGATAGTTAAGGGATATACAGTTGAGAGGTCAGTCACAGTAACTCTTTCCCCTCAATCATTTTTTCAACAGTATTCAAGTGGTTTTTGGTTCATATTGACTGTGTTTCAAGCTCTAACATTCAGCTGTGTGTGTTTCTGTCTGTGTGTGATGTCATCCAGCTGCGTCTGGATGACCGCGTGCTGCAGACAGAGCGCGGGCTGTTGGTGAGGAGGGTACTGAAGCGTGACGTGGGCCTCTACCAGTGCCACGCCATGGAGCACGGCTTCACCCAGACCCTACTGGGCATTACCCTGGAGGTAGTACCCTCCTCCTCCTCCCCCTCCCCGCCCGCTGACCCTCTCCTTCGATTGGACCCCCGTAGTGGAGGCGGCGGCCCACCTTCCACCAATCAGAAGCTGTGGTACCGGGACTTCATGCAGCTGGTGGACCACCCGAACCTCAGCACCGTGGATCAAATCTGCGAGCAGGTGTGGGCACGCAAGAGCGCCCAATTGGACAAGAGCTTCCCGTCTTCTCCCGACAAACAGGCCCCGCCCATCGGTCCCGTGATCCGGCCCCCTAACAAGAAGTGGAAGCATCTGCAGGACATCCGCAAGGGGAGGAACCGCCGAACCCATGATGGGAAACCCTTCCCACGAGCACCACGCAGCGCAGGGGAGTAATGACAGAGTAGAGAGGAGAGGGAGAAGGAGAGAGACTGAGGGGGGAGAGAGAGAAGAGAGGGAAGAGAGGGAAGAGAGAGAAGAGAGGGAGGAGGAAAAGAGAGAGACAAAGACTGATAGAGACCAAGGACTTCTGGAGGGGGTCAACCATACACACAGCACCTCCTTCTTTGTGAATATTTATCTTCCGTCACCCCACTAGCTACTGCCCCATGATGCTTCACTCTGCCCTGACCCCTGACCCCCGATTACCACCACTTGCTTGTATCGCCCCTTATTATTCCCCCTGTCTTAATTCTATCTGCCCCAGCTCTCAATCCCTTTGGATGCACTCTCCTGGAGAACTTCTGATAGAGACCTCACAACTAGAGAATAGACTGAACAGACAGACAGAGTCCCCAAGTTAAAAGATGTCTCAGTGTGTGTCACTCAATCTCTCAACTGGAATACAACTGGCTTGTAACTGGAATATCAGAATGGAAAAAGACACACAAACACACATTTACAGCCCAAGATGACAATTACTTTGATGATGATACGGATTACAAATTGTGAGATGTACAAAAACAATGGATTCCACTTACCTCCAAACGCACATTGATCAGCGTAGATATAATCACATTTCACGTGTTTTGCAAAGAGTGCATAATGTAGATGTGTGCTTTGTGGCAGATATAGGCTTTTATATACTTTTTTGGTCCAAACCACTACAGATAGGAGAACGTACTACTGTCATTCCAGTGTATAGAGAGAGTTCTTACAGTGAGGTGAGATTCTGAAGCAGAGAGAGAGTGTACAGGATCAATACAATGGTTCCCTTGTGATTTTATTTTACAAAATGGCTGACAAGGTAGAGGAAGTGGGCGATATTCTACCTGTATGTTTATGGGGTGACAAGAAATACGTTTTGTGTTTTATTTAGTCATTTATTTAAATGATCTGTGTGTATTTTCTGACTCTAATGACTTGTGTTGTGTGCTGACACATTTACATGGGGGAGCTGAGATGGTTCAAGTGACAGACTGCATAACATCAATGTGGAGGTGGCAAGACAATAGTGGGATTTGAAAACGACATCCCATCTTTGGGCTAAAAGCATGATATTTATGTGTGAAAAGAAAACATCTCGATTTTTATTCTAAATGGTACATACTTTGTTATTTTAGGCTACACTGTTTGCCTAGGTAAATGATCAGTCGCTGTGTGCGTGTGTGTCTGTGTGTGTGTGTCTGTGTGTGTGTGTGTCTGTGTGTGTGTGTGTGTGTGTGTGTCTGTGTGCGTGTGTGTGCGTGCATAAATAAACGTCCCTCCTTCCCTGCTTCTTCTCTAGGCCCGTCTCTGTGTGTTAATTATACAGTATCTCTTTGCTGCCTTGAGTTCAGCAAAACCCATTTGTCCTGTATGTATGTACTCATGTGAGTAGATCGCCACCTAGTTTCCTTTCTGTGTATAGGCTTGGTCCACTGACTTTCTGTGGTACGATTCAATATACATCATACATAGTATGTTGCTGACAAGTGGCTTTTTAAAATAAAACATGCTTTTACTTTTTCTCCTTTTACCAGTGAAGTCTATGAGAGCATTTAGATGTATGGAATCCTGTCTTTTATTTATAACTGCTTTATAAAGATGTAATTATTAACTCTTGAATGACTGAGGCCAATAAGTTAAGTGGGCTGTAGTTTTGTGCTCTTCAATTGCATGACCAAGGTTAGTGGCTAGGCAGTTGACAATGGAGACTTTGGCTGCGTATCTGAATGGCACCCTATTCCCTAGTGCAGTACTTTTGACTAGGGCCCATAGAGTGCCATTTGGGAGACACCCTTTGAGAAGAGAGAGTGACTTGAGAAAGCACAATGTTCAATATGGTTATCCTATGTATTTATGTGCACAAATAAGCTAATATGTTATGGTGGATATTTTTTATTTTCATGTAGAGACTTGGGGCTCTATTCAATCTATATCGCTGAAGCGTTACATATTGCGCGATATAAACTTAAAGGTCATTTCCAATTGAGATGACAAATGCAGTGTTTACTGTGAACACAGTCTCTGCTAACGCGGGAACATTGCCTTTAAATTGAAATCAAGCTGTAACGCTAAACTTCAGCGATACAGATCGAATAGAGCCCTTACAGTTGTACCATACATGTTCTGCAAAAACTATCATCATTCAAAAAAACATTCTGTAAATGTTGATCCAGTTGTCCAATTAGCATCATTGTTCTTCACGCTGCCCTCCAATCGCTGATCCTTTCTATTCCATGCTATGTGACGCACCCCAACTGTGTGTGTGTGTGTGTGTGTGTGTGTGTGCGTGTGTGTTTGGGGGAAAGGAGAGCTCTTTACATATTGGCAAAGGAGGAGAGGTAGTCTGTAGAAACAGTTCAAAGTTCAGAGGTCAAAGTTGACATGGTGCACTGTATTACTTCCAGAGTACTTTGTGGATTGTTGTGCCAGATTGTTTTTGATTAACACAATAAAGTGCCCAGTTACTTTATGTCTGAGTAGTTTATTGTCATATGACATAGCCTAACATCTACTGTTTTATACACTACCTGCTGAGTATTACAGCACAACTATGGCCGTGTTCACACAGGCAGCCCATTTCTTATCTTTTTTTCACTAATCGTTTTTTTGACCAATCAGATCAGCGCTGAAAAGGAAATGATGTGAAAAGATCTAATGTGATTGGTCAAAAGACTAATTAGTGGAAAAAATATCAGAATTGGGCTGCCTGTGTGAACGCAGTCTATGGTTTTCAGGCTTGCTGCCTTATGTCAATGGCCAACAAGGGATGCAATTCCTACATCGTACACAGGGTGGCATCACTGTATTTACAGAGTGTTGGGGAAGCTACTCTGGAAATATAGTTTATCAAGCTACCAGGCCCGTTCGAGCGGATTACATTTGACAAGTCACCGCCTTTCAGGGTGTTATTGGGATAAAAACTGTCCGACTGCATGAACTTTACAAAAATCATGTGATCAAAGGTCATGAAGTTGACTGCAGTCGACTGCAAGTTTCTGCAGTTGCTCTTCACCAACTTTATCCTGCAGCCATAGCCAGCGTTGTGGGAGGCGTTATTGTCAAGCAATCATTCATTTTTTTTTTGTTTGACTCACGCGGATGTGACCAAAGACATGGACTGAAACAGGAACCAACTTTGCCGTGATTCATGTATACAGTGGATATATACAAATGTATGTGATGTTTGAGGCTCTCTCTTACTAATTGATTGTACAATGTACACACATATGATTTCAGTTTGTGAGTGTGTGATATAGGGGTTGGGGACATGTTTATTTCGACGTTATAATATATATATTTTTACAAACAATGGCAACACTGCCATGATCTGAGCCTGTTGGAAAACCACATTAGTGTCCGACTTTGAAAGTCGCAGATGCATGTTCCCAGACTTCACTCCTCGACTTAGGTCTACAGTCTGTTGCTTTAGTCTTACCACTCAAACACGCCCAATTACTTCACACTTGGAAGAAGTTAAGCTACACTAAATCTACCCTTAAGAAAAACATAGTTTTCTAAAGTTACTTTGAAAAGTAGTTCACTACATCCAAACTACTTCATGATATATTATCATATCTAAATCTGAAATGACTACAAATTGCAAGAACAGATCACTCTGGAGTCAGAAGTTAACAGAATGTATAATTTGGCCTATTAAACACAAACCTATGTTTCAAGTGAGAATTAGGCAGGTCTGATGTCGAAAAAGAAAGACAATTCTTGCCTACTTCACCACATTTAGCTACACCGCTACATGGCAAAAAAGTAATTAACTACTGAAAATACTTCCTTGGTTTGAATGTAGTTCAACTACCACCAAGCTACTGCAAAATGTAGTTATATTACTAGTTGAACTATACGTAGTTCACTACTCCCAGAGAGGTTGACTGTTGGTTGACTGTACTGTGAGGAACTGTGAGTCCCTTTTCACTCTCCTCTCCCCATAATCTACAAACAAATATGTGCCTTCATGTCCCCCAGCCCCTTACATCCCACCACTGCCCTTAACCTTTCATATCACTGGCTCCCTGACATTCTCCAGGAGGGGCTGCTGTGGGAAAGGGGGGTAGTGGAGCAGCCATCCAAACATTATGACTCACATTCATAGAAATATCTTAATGACCCTGCTGTCACCGCTGACCCCAACTTTTCCCAGCTTGGAATGTTCATGCCCATGCGACATACACTCACGCTCGCGCGCGCACACACATGCACGGACGTACACACACACACACACACATACATACATACATACACACACACACACACACACACACACACACACACACACACACACACACACACACACACACACACACACACACACACACACACACACACACACACTGAATGCAGTTATAAACACACGTATTACTCAAACTGGAAACCCATTAGCCCCCCTCTGTTCCCCTTACTCTGCTTGTTAGTAGAACAGGGGTCAGTATGTATGTATGTACTCATGGGCTGGGGGGTCCATGGGGTCCTAGGACCAGCAGGCCTAATTGAGGACTCATTTCCGCAGCCTGTTTTACAGAGTTAAAGAGGGGCTTAGATTAACATGCAGGTGAGTACCTTATGCCCCCCTCCTGAGAACAATTATGGGGCACACTCAGGGGGGCACACAGTGCACCAGCGTGTAACAGGATAGCCCCCCAACATACGTCTTCTAGACTTTTTACAATTCTACCCCTTATTTGCCAAACTGGTTAAAATAGGACAGTAAGTGCTTGTTTCAGTGATCCTAAGAGAACGCTAACTACATAATGAAAGATCTTTCTTTTTATTTAACCTTTTTTTAACTAGGCAAGTCAATTAAGAACAAATTCTTATTGACAATGACGGCCTACCAAGAGGCAAAACACCTCCTGTGGGGATGGGGGCTGTGATTAAAAAATAAATGCAGGACAAAACACACCTCATGACAAAAGAGACACCACAACAACATGAAGAGAGACCTAAGAGAACAGCACAGCATGGCAGCAACACAACATGACAACACAACATGGTAG